TGCATTCTAAGAGGCATGTGAGGCGCAATAAAGGGTTTGCCGAAATGTCTAGGGGGAGGAGTGGCTAGATAGATTTTTAAACACCTTCTGAAAAGAAAATGTCACTTGGGCATACGATTTCAAAACCTTACATTTTATAATAGGGTAACGCCACTTGATTCTTATGGTGGATCGTATGACGCCCCTATCAAAGGCCTTTGTTTGTCTTTCCCTTGAAAAAACTGAAAAAATCTAAACAGAACTACTGTTTGGTGGAAGCCAAGTTGGTCTCCCACCTTAGATAACCCTGGCCTCAGAATTCTGTCTTACAGAACTGGTAGTATTAGTTTGGTTTAGTTTTCAGTTTATTATTTAGCTTGATTTTAGTTTTAGTGTACCTTACATTTTAGTTTGCTTAGTTTTTTAAAGTTAAGTTTCGTATATTATAGTTATTTAAGTATATTTACCTAACGTAGGCAGTATCTAACCAAACGAAATTAAAAGTAAACTAATACACTAAACCATAAATTTAAAAAATAAACTTACCGAAAACTAAAACTAACCACAGGACTAAGGGCTAGGTGTGTCTAAGGTGGTCAGCCAACTTAACTTCTACCTATTGTTTTTAAGTATTTGCGTCAAAAGACGCCAGGGCAATATAACGTCCGTTCTTGACTTATCCGCTCTTACCAGCTTTTTGATACCATACCAAGGAGAATTAGCCATTCGAGGTGCCAAAGCTTACACAGGCACGTTTTTGGCTACTTATGGCGCCGGCGTAAATAGCACACTTTCAGTCACGAGGTTCAAGTGACTACCTGGCACGTGATACATATGGGGCAATTTTGGCAACGTTCAAGTACCGTCTGGCAGAGGCAGACCTGTCTAGGCAGCTTCTAGTGCCAAGCCCATCCGCCCGGCCATCTTTGGGGAAGGTGTAACGGGCACGTGATTGCGTGGATGAGTGTTCTGATTGGTTAAACGTCATTAGCGCTGACTGGGAGCGGAGCAAGGGGATTTGGCAAAGGTCACTTTTGTTGGCAGCTTTTGTAGGTGTTTAGAGTGCTGTCTGTGTGTGGAAGGTTTATTTTTAAAGTTGGTTGAAAAAATCTCTTACAGACATAGCCTGCTGCTGTACTGCGAAGTAAGGACTATTCTGTCTTGCCCTTCAGCTCTGGTTTAGAGCGATCGGAAGTGGCCACGAGCAGGCAACCATTACCGACAAAGACCGAGTGACCTATAATCACGTTGTCAAATGCGTAGATATCTCGAGTAGTGCGAAATGTGTAGTCCATCCAGGAATACTACTGGCTGCTTGAAAATACAACGCCAGATTGTGATTTGACGAGCGCATTAATCAGACCGAAAATCGTTGCTTTGTGGGCATGCAACGGGATCTACATGCATTCTGTTGGTAATTGAGCACACGCTTACAGGTAAGGCTCATCATTCTCAATGCTCACAGGATCACAAAATATTTGACTTAGATATCTCACTGCAGAAGGTAAAAGATAGGCCTATGGTGTACTGACGATCATTAATGGCCAAAAACCAGTTGTCTGCGTTGGGATATCTGTGTAATACATGTGGCATATGGAAGTCAAAATCAAGGTTGCACGGGATACTAGGGAATTGTCGCTTTGTTAAAATGATAATCATACCAGCGTCCTAGCTACACAAGGCGGTCGTTCTAATTGAACCCTACGTGGGATCCAGCTCTTAGCTGTTGTTCCAAGATGCTGCGCTTAGCGTAACAAATGAGAGTAAGTTTCAGTCACTTCGGCTGTTTGATGGAAGCAGTTAAGTTAACTGACCTAGTTTTCGGTAGAACTCGAAACCACAACAGAAATGACGTGTCTTCAGTAAAGCTAAGCACCTGAGCTACGAGTCCCTGGACGAGGGTCTTCTCTTTATTTACATTTGAATGAGGTTACCCATCCAACCAAACAGGCATTGCCACTGCACCTCTCAAGGCACTAGTACATTTATGTTTGGAGCCGAGACTGGCTGTAAGAGAACAGCCAGAAGTGTTATGGAAAACAGTTCCAGTCCACCATTGTACCCTATCGTACCACAGGTTGTCTTTATCTAGTCTTACCACTGGATCAGGATGAGTTTGGGAAGGGAGAGTGAGTGAGTGAGTGAGGTAGAGGCTATGCAAGTCTCTGGTTTCTGCACAAGGCCCCAAAACCAGGAGTTAATATCGTTACGAGTTGTAAGCGATGGGTGAACTTTCAGTCAAATGACTGAGGATTTCTGACAAGTGATTGGCTTTGCTGAATCCCTCATGGTTAACTCCTAATGATGTAATTTATCTTTTTTTTTCTTTTACGAAAAGGATTTCGCAAGCTGCGAATTTAGCAACGAGGCAACGGAAAAATGCAACAGTGGGAAGGAGCAGGCAAAAGGAAAGGTCTCGAAACGGTTTCACATAAAACGGCCAATGAACGCCTTTATGGTATGGGCTCGTGAGGAGCGACGGAAAATACTGAAGGTAAGTCGAATCGGTTCCATCCTTATTTTATTAGTTTTGTCCTACAAGAAACCACCGTATACTATGTTGCTGTTATGCAAAAGTTTTCGAAGCTAGGCATCCTTGGAGTTTAGAAGAAGCTTCATTTTCCTATAAGGGAGTTCATAGGGAGAATTGCCAGAAATTATGCAGACGTCACGAAAGGGCATATAATAGAACGGAAAAAATATACAGATCACAGATCGCAGTTGAAAGATCGTCATAGGTTACACTCGATTCTTGATACATTACTGATTCAGCTGTGGTAGTTTTTTTACCTAGGAGGCCCGAAGTAAACACATTTCTATAGGGTTCCTTATAAGCAACCCTGTAGTTTACTATAACTAAGTAAACTAAGAACTAGAGTAACTAAACCAAACTAAATAATAATATACAAGGAAATTAATGATTGATTACAGAGTGAACTATGGTTTTGCTCATAAGAAATCCTTAACATATCACTGAAGAAAACAAAGCAGTTGCAACCGGGCCTGCAGTTTCTAAAGAAAAGATGTCAGCTATTCATTCTAAACTCGCGCCCAATTTTCACCACTCTTGCCCTTTAAC